GGATGAGCATTCATAGAATTGGAACCGCCCCACCAACATTGGTTTGCCAAATAAAATTAGTCACTAGGATTGACTCAATTCACTAAATATTTCTTGCTATAAAGAACCAAATAATTTTTTTTTTCTTTAATGAGTGGATATATGACACTCATCTGATTCCCACCATTTACAAAACACATTAATTAGTGGGAAAAAAAAAAAAAAAAAAAAAAAAAGATTCAAGTTTTGTTGTAGATAGATACACCAGAAGAAAATGGCTTACATGTGAAAACAAAAACCCAGAGAGAGAGAGAGAGAGAGAGGGCACTGAGTAGGCCACTATATTTTTTTCTAGGGTGGGTTCATTTTTTTTTCATTTCATAAAGGTAAAAAGGAAGTATGTCAAACTTTCCCTCTCAAATTTCAAACGGACGGCCGCCTTAATAACCCAACCAAGAAACTATGTTTTTTAATCATATAATAAAATACCATTTCTTCATTAATAAGATATTGGTTGAGTTATTTTTGGAATGCAAATCCAAATTTATGGGTTCTCCTAAGCCTAAGGTATGTAGGGTGAGCAATCTTTCAGAAATTCCTTGGTGTTTATTTCAACAGATTTGAGATTATCATCAGGTTAATTAATTTATAATTTTCGATTTCTGATATCAGTATGCTATTATTGTTTTCGGGATCTAGGGGAGGGTTACCCAGAGGCTGTGCGATTTTCCTATGGGTAGCTGGACAAGTATGCAGAACTGATGCACAATCTTGGACTGGATTCAGGTAAGGCCCAGTTTTCCAATTACACAGCTTTAAATGCCTATTCAAAGAAGTTTGTTTTAGATTTTTATTCAAGAATTTATTTAAAATGAAGAGAAAATTTGCTAAAAAGGGCTTAGTGAGACTTGATCTGGGTATCATAAAAAAGCCCATTACCAGTTGGATTAAAGTTTTGGCACATTCTTCATTATAATCAGCCCATTAAGTAAACGCTCACTAGGAAGGTTTCCAAATGATAAAGCATATAGAAAACGAATAAAATTTCTAAAAATTTGTTGTCCCTCAAATCAAGACTCATGCACATATATATATATATATATATATGATAATCTGTTTTTTTCATGCAATTGGATTTAATCTTATCAAATTCATGAAAATCTCATACCTACAAGTTACGGCTTATTAATGTTAATGATTTTGAACTCGTTTAAAAGAGTTGGTAATGCAAATAATGCATCTACAAGTGGCAAACTCAGTGGTAGAGGTGGGAATTTGGCCCGAGCCCAAAACCCAAGAGCAGGACACGCTTACATAGACCCTTTTATAATATATGAAATACATAATAATTTTAGGGGTTTAATCTGCTTTTACAAAAAAAAAAAAAAAAAAAAAAAATTAATTTTTTTTTCTAGGCCCATACCGGTCCTAGGATCGGTCTGGGGCCCTAGGAAAACTCATAGGTTTAGGACCGATCCTTCAGGATTTGGGCTTGGTCCCTCAAGGATCGGTCCCAAATTGGTCTCGTCCTTGAGGGTCCAAACCCGGGACCAACTGGGCACGGGCCTTGCCCATCTCTAATCGAGGGTGTCCAGACGAGTTAGTTTATATGTACTTCAACTAATTCTTCGAGACCTTGAAGTTAATGACCAGATAAGCCTCCAGTAGCCACCCTATTAGCAGCCGAGGTGAATCGAACTCAGGATCTCTTGAGTAATATACCCAAGAGTTTTAGTTAACCACTAGATCACCCAATAATGGTTTATCATCACTTTTGTCTCCAACCCAAGAATATAAGCTACATTTTCGGTTTATTTATTTTTTCAAATAAAAGCTTTACTCTAAATTCTAAAACAGCTTTTAATTCATTAAGCATCCACCAAGCAGACAATCAATAAAGCGCCTCTAAATTAGGTTTTCAGACTTAAAGGCATGCAATTAGATTACGACCCAACTGTAACGTGGATTAGCAAACGTGAACATACTATAGCAGAAACTAGAAAGAAAATCGGTCACTCTGCTTACACGTGGTACATCTTTCATCTCAAATAATTTTCTTAGTAGCAATCATCACATGAATACAAACACACTAATGACTGATTGACAACTTGTGTGGATGCGTTTATTTTAGTATTTTAGATAATATTTTTGAAAAAGTAAGAGTTAAATAATTATTACTGAGGAGGATTTAAAAATTAACAAAAATATTTTTATAGGTTTGTTAATTTACTAAACATCCTGTAATAAAATATTAAAAATTAACGAAAATACTCGCATCCACATATTAAATATCGACAGTCAATCACCACCATCGGAGGGTGACTGGAGTCACCGTATGATCGTATGAAAGGTTAGATCTGGCTGATCGTGCATCGATATGACCTTTTCTAGCTAGATCCACCGTGGATCTAGCTAGAAATGGTTAGATCTATGACTAGATCTAGCCATTGACTGCCAGATCTGATCGTGATTGGTCGTCAATGACTGCCAAAGATATGGCTGTCGTTGACAACTAGCTACAGCCAGAGATCTGGTGGTCAATGGCCACATCTCTGGTCGTAGATCTGACATTTTTCGATCAGACCCACAGTGGATCTGGCCAGAAAAGGCTAGATCGATGCACTACCAACCAGATCCAGCCGATAATGAGTCATTATACTAGATTTCGGCCACCTTCCGGTGGTGGTGGCCAGAATCTGACATACGTAGACAGGTGGAGGTATTTTTGTTAATTTCTAAACTTTTTTTTGGAGGTGTTTAGTTCAATCAACAAACTTAAAGGGTTTAAAATTAATTGAATAAAATATAATAACATTTTCATAATAGGAAAGCAAATGTGTATTTTGAAAATGATAAGAATAGGATAGAACAAAAATAGGAAAACAAACTTACCCTTAACATTTCTTAAGATTGCTTTTCCTTTCGAANCTACATTTTCGGTTTATTTATTTTTTCAAATAAAAGCTTTACTCTAAATTCTAAAACAGCTTTTAATTCATTAAGCATCCACCAAGCAGACAATCAATAAAGCGCCTCTGAATTAGGTTTTCAAACTTAAAGGCCTGCAATTAGATTATGACCCAACTGTAACGTGGACTAGTCCTATAGCAGAAACTAGAAAGAAAATGGGTCACTCTGATTACACGTGGTAAATCGTTCATCTTAAATAATTTTCTTAGTAGCAATCATCACATGAATACAAGCACACTAATGACTGATTGACAACTTGTCGATACGTTATTTTAGTATTTTAGATAACATTTTAAAAAACGTAAGAGTTGGATAGTTAGTACCGAAGAAAATTTAAAAATTAACAAAAATATTTTTATAAGTTTATTAATTTATTAAATACCCTGTAATAAAATATTAAAAATTAATAAAAACACCCACACTTACACATTAAATACCGACAGTCAACCACCACCGTCAAAAGGTGGTGGCTGACTGTTTATTTTAGTATTTTACGTTTGATAATACTAAAATAATTTTCTTAGTAGCATTCATCACATGAATACAAACACACTAATGACTGATTGACAACTTGTCGGATACGTTTATTTTAGTATTTTAGATAATATTTTAAAAAACGTAAGAGTTGGATAGTTAGTACGGAGGAAAATTTAAAAATTAACAAAAATGTCCTCATAAGTTTATTAATTTACTAAACACCCTGTAATAAAATATTAAAAATTAATGAAAACACCCATACCTACACATTAAATACCGACAGTCAGCCACCACCGTCAGAAGGTGGGCGGAGTCATAGTATGAGCGTATGAAATGTTAGATTTGGCTGGTTGTGCATCGATATGACCTTTTCTAACTAGATCCACCGTGAATCTAGCTAGAAAAAGTCAGATTTACGACTAGATCTAACCATTGACGGCTAGATCTGACCATGTTTGGTCGTCAACGACGGTCAAAGATATGACTGTCGTTGACGACTAGCTACGGCCAGAGATTTGGTGGTCAATGGCCAGATCTTTAGTCTTAGATATGATATTTTTCAACCAGATCTACAGTGGATCTAGCCAGAAAAGGCTAGATCAACGCACTACCTGCCAGATCCAGCCGATAGTGCATTATTATACTAGATTTCGGCCACCTTCCGATGGTGGTGGCCAAAATCTGACAAATGTGGATGGATAGGGGTGTTTTTGTTAATTTCTAAACTTTTTTTTGGAGGTGTTTAGTTAAATCAACAAACTTAGAAGTTTTAAAAACAATTGAATAAAATATAATAATATTTTCATTATAGGAAAATAAATGTGTATTTTGGAAATGATAAGAATAGGATGGGGCAAAAATAGGAAAACAAACTTACCCTTTAACATTTCTTAAGATTGCTTTTCCTTTCAAAAGATTTTTCACTTAACCAAGAAATTTGACTTGAAATTCAACTTTTAGGTATTAGAACAAGTTACTCAAGGTTACTTGATTAAAATATATCTAATATCTATGTTCAAATCCATATCCTAATTTAAGCTAAATATTGCAACCCATAATAACTCTTTACCCATTGGAGAATGATAACTCTAACTACCATCTCCCATATACATATGGAGGAGAAGATTGAAATGCAAGTAGAGAGATTCATGGTATGATATGACAGTACCAAAAATGAATGAAAGATAACAACTCTCAACCTCTACTAAACCCTAATAAATTTGGGCAACTGTCTGTTTGATTTTGATCCAAAAGTCCACAAAACTAAAGTTGCTTCACTGCCACTCCCTTCCAAGCTTGAAGTATCTAGATCATTACACATCAACATTGAATGACAAGACGTACAAGCAAGTAGCTATTCAAAGAGTAGTTTTTGTTTTCATATTTTTTTTTATCAGAGGGTATTTCCAAAATGAAATTGAACTCTATTACCCTACCACCTGTCTACTTGAGTAATCTTGCAATTAATTCAGCCAGGGACAGTTGAAAGATAATTAAACCAGCTGCTCATGGTGGTGGTACGGTGCTGTTCATCCTTTCTCCTATTATAAATGTTGCACCCCAGTTGCTATTTCCTAACAAGTAAAGCATAGGTTTCAGCTCATATTCTCTCTTAACCAACAGCTTTGTGTTGAGTAGCTTCAAGTCTAAATGGGGTTTAGTTTCTTGCCAATCCTAGCATTTCTCGCCGTATGCTTCTTAGAACTTGCATTGTTTTCAGCAAAGAGCTTCTCTTAGAATTTTGTGTTTGTCTAATGAGATTTTGTGTGTGTTTGTGTTGCAGGTTGCACTGGTGGCCAGCCATGCTGCTCTGGCTCCGGAACTTTACTGGAAGTCTGTATTGCCGAATACTCCAATGCCAAAAGCTGTCAGAGATCTCCTACACCCTGGTCAGTATTTTGAATCCTGCTCTCTCTTGAATCATTTCCATGGAAATCGAAAACTAGTTTTCTGTTCCGTGGACCTGTAAAAATGAATTTTCTCAATCATTTGAGGTTAATAACTTATGGAAACCATGATATAATGAAGAAAGTATAATAGTCAAAGTAGCTAAATATTAAATAAGTGAAATATGCTTTCTTTTTATTGTCTAACAAACAAAAGTTTTGACAGTTCAAAAGACGCCATGAGGAGAAAGTTTGTAGTTTGTTATGATCAGAAGTTTTATTACGTTATTCTCGGTTTGATTAGCTCTTTTCTAATATTGTTACAATGTTTGCAGACTTGCTGGAAGAGAAAGGTACCTCTGTTGATGTAGGGAAGGGCGGTGTCAACGTGGATGCTGGGAAAGGAAAGCCAGGAGGCACCTCTGTCGGTGTAGGTAAGGGTGGTGTAAACGTGGATTCAGGGAAAGGAAAGCCTGGAGGCACTTCTGTTAACGTTGGAAAGGGCGGAGTAAATGTGAATACCGGAAAAGGAAAGCAAGGTGGTGGTACCCATGTGAGTGTTGGAGGCAAAGGCAAAGGAGTGGGCGTTAATACTGGAAAGCCCGGAGGGAAAACCAATGTTAGTGTTGGCAAAGGAGGAGTATCTGTGAACACAGGAGGCAAAGGAAAGCCAGTCTATGTTGGAGTAAAACCAGGGCCAAACCCATTTGATTACAACTACGCTGCCAGTGAGGATCAACTCCATGATGACCCAAATGTAGCTCTTTTCTTCTTGGAGAAGGACATGAAAGTCGGGACAGAGATGAACTTGCACTTCACTAAAAATTCAAATACAGCAACTCTCTTACCTCGCCAAGTTTCCAAATCAATTCCGTTTTCATCTGAAAAATTGCCAGAAATCATGAACCGATTTTCAGTGAAACCTGGATCAGTGGAAGCTGAGATAATGCAAAACACAATAAAAAACTGTGAAGAACCCAGCATCAAAGGAGAGGAAAAATATTGTGCAACTTCACTCGAATCAATGATTGACTTCAGCACTTCCAAGCTTGGAAAAGGTGTTCAGGCATTTTCCACAGAGGTGGAAAAAAGAAGTAAGATGCAGAAGTATACAATAGCAGCAGGAGTGAAGAAGATGCCAAGTGACAAATCTGTAGTCTGCCACAAGCAGAACTATGCATATGCTGTATTCTACTGTCATGCAACTGAAACCACCAGGGCTTACATGGTTCCTTTGGAAGGTACCGATGGGACAAAAGCCCAAGCAGTAGCAGTCTGCCACACAGATACATCAGCATGGAACCCAAAGCATTTAGCTTTCCAAGTGCTCAAAGTTAAGCCAGGGACTGTTCCTATCTGTCATTTCCTTCCTGAAGATCACATTGTCTGGGTTCCCAACAAGAAGCCTGCAGAATAGAATCAGACCATCTTATTCCATCTATTCAATCAGCAGATTTCGAATTGGATCAGTTTAAAATATTACCTGTTTAGTTATACAATAATGTAGCTCACCTTCGGTATGCATGTACTTATAAAGTTTGCTGCAGTTTTGTTTACGAAAAATCTACTTATGATTAAATTCATACTCACTGATTAGTTTGAATCTTCTGCAGCTTCCTGCCATAAGGAGAATAAATCAAAATATATTCTGAAAATTCTAATCATCTAACAAACTAACCAACAAGACGGTGATTCCATTGTTATAAAATGTGTTAGTATCCTTCTTTGATACTAGTGTTGGACTCCTATCAATCAACAAATGTTTTAAAGTCAAATGGTTCCTTAATATGGTATGAAAGCTATGTTGATCAAGTGGTCCTATGTTTGAATACCCTTGAATATAAATTGCAATAAATTATGTTTATGGTCATGCTTGTATTTGTAGTTGTGATTGTTTCTTCCACAAGCACTCGCAGATTACAAGCGATGTTAAGCCTTTACCTATCAACTAACCCTGAGCACCACTCATTCCTATATCCAATCAAACTTCCTTTAGATCCCTGATATAGATGGCCTCCTTCACAAAGTTGAAAAGGGAAAAAAAATTCCTTTTTGTTGCCACATAACGTTTGAGAAAATGTGCTGAACCTTCATAGTTCATACCATGAAGTTGCTATAATATTGTTACTAAAAAGGCCATCATTTCATAATATTGTTACTTAAAAGGCCATCATTTCATATGGAGGTTTCCATCAGACACCATTTTCTTATTGATAGGAAACAAAAAGATACATATTGATGATAAAAAGAAGAAAATTACAATAGAAACCGGCTGTCTATAATAGCAAAAACAAAGAAACTTTAAAGAGACAAAAGCTATACAACCAAGTATGGTGAATCTGTCATTATCAGAAACAATATAGATGTGAATCAATCTATACAAAAAAAGGTCGAGGTGAATTTAATTGATAACACCATCATGATATTTACAAAGACTATAAAGATAAAAACCTATTGCGTTCAATAAGGAACCATGGTAGTTGAGATAAAATAAAAGATAACACATGATCAAAAGACTTCAAATATAATCACACTTTAAAAAGAAAGTAACAACAGACTTAAAATTGCTAACTTTAAATATCATTTACATGAAGACTACACATTACAATTCATGGCACAACTTTTACTAAGCCTTAACTCATATAAGGCATATCCAAATTTAAAACACATATAGATATGATGGATCATTTGAAAACTTCTTATATGCAAACATTTGCATTTTTTAAAATATCTACTCCCTATGACTGGTGTCACTAAATGATAAAAAAGAATTTTGTAGTTTTCAATATTAAAAAGTTTGACTAAAATTGTCTTCTAGCATTTTTCAAAGGTAATAAATCATTAACCAACATCTGTAAAGGAGATCTACATTTTCAAAAGAGGTGAATATGAATTAGAGAAGAACTATCTCCCCATGTGTAAATGTGCACATGCACTATCTACCGTGTCAAGTATAGAAAGTTTTGAACCTTAAAAGCAAGTCAGTAACCCCACAGATAAGACTGGAAGGTGGGCCATAACTGATGGCCAGTGTAACCACCTGCACACCCACCAGATCATTCTGGTTGGTAAGCTTAATGGCGCATAAGTAGAAATGCAGAATATTGTAACTGACATCGAGCCCTCAATTTTTTCCACATCTCCAGTTGTTTGAAACCGAACAACTGCAACTTTAAATTTTAGAACAAAAATGTCAGCAAAAGCTGTGGTCAGAATTTGGGAGATGGAGCCCACAGCAATTTAGCAAATAACTTTTAAATCACCTACCTACAAAAGGAACAGTATGATATTTCATTCCATCACGTAAAAGCATATTAATAGCTGCATTTTCATATCTGTTTCTTTTAAATAGAGAGGAAAACATATGAGAAATCAATTTATTCTTCTTCTTTTCAAAATTTGATGGATAACTGGGCCAAAAGCATTGGAGTCCATCATAACTACGTTTTCAGCTTTTTCTTTAATCGTTCCTAAGTTAGTTAATAATTTATACATACAATAACACCACAGCTTCATATTTCGCTGCCTACAAATGCTCATCACATCAACATCATGGACTAAACTAAAAAGAAATTGGAATGTAAACTAGATTAAATTTAAAGAGTGCAAAATAAACTGACCTGTATGGATGCTTGTCTCAAACACTCCGCTATGCTTGCCGAATCCAGCAATCAGAAAGCATGTCACATTGTTGAAACAAAATTAAGCGTGATAGGCCACCAGCATTTGCAGTAGCAATCACAATATTCAGGGTTAACTTCCTTTTAGATTTGTCGGAATCCTTGCTGTATATCATTGTAAAAGGTGTGTACTTGAGGGAAACAGTGAACTTTGGCGGTAAGACAATTTACTGATACCACTGTTCCACAAAATAAATCAGAAACTACGTTGAGTAGCCTCATGCAGAGATTTTATACCATTACAGGTTCTTTCATGACTTTCCTTTAAGATCTAGAGAACTGAAACTAGAGGGGCCAGTCAAAGCCAACCCCCTACCACAGGAAAATTTTGCTTCACTGTGTATATAAGCAGCTTCTCTGCTATAAGAAAATATTATGGGAATAAGATACCTGAAGTATTCACCTGTTAGAGATTTAACCCATCAATCAAACATTATGTACATTAGTTTCAATCTACTCTCCATAGTCATCAAGCACCTTTTCGATCAAGAATAAAGACTCTTCTTCTATAAATCAGGCACAATATCTGCACCTTTATCAGCTTGAATAGGTTCCAAAGAACCCCATGTTCTTCCAACTTTGAGTTTGGCATGCAAAGGAACTGAGAGAAGTATGAAACACAGTGAAAATAGTTCTCAAACTAGTAATAATATCAAACATCTGGATGAACTCATACCAAGAAGCATGGCAGCACTTTCCATGCACTTTCGTAGCAACAATGCAGCTTCCTTAACCACAGTTGAGTCAACTTCTAATACTAACTCATCATGTACCTAGGTAGCAATCACCAAGACTATCAATACAATTCATATATAGAAAGCTACAACCTGATAGAGACAAAAATAAATGATAGACTTGATGCACTAAATAATCTCACAGAATGAACAAACATTCAGATTTTTCTTCAAAATTCTATAACTGCATGAAGTTCTCCAAGAACGAAAACAATAATTAAAGAGACAAGTTATCAATTTCCAAAAGTAACCTGTAAAAGAACTCGGCAGCGATGCTTCAGCATCTGAAACTTAGTTGCAGCTGCAGAGGTAGTTTCTGACCTATAAACTCCTTCAACAATGACAGAGTGGATATTTATCATTGCAATCTTGATAATGTCAGCAGCTGATCCCTATAGAAAGCAGTTGTCAATCAATCAATTAGAGATTCATGCTAACTCTAAAGCAACCCTGTCCCATTCCTCAAGTGCTGGAGTGGAATTATGGAACTATTATTCTACCTGACAAATAGAATTCACTGCTTGCCTCTGAGCCTTAGATCTTTCTTTACAATTTCCAAATTTGATTTTTGACAAGAACCGCTTTCTTCCTTTTAGGGTTTCCACATATCTAGATACAAGTACACAAGATATTAGCAAACTAATATAGCCCCTAAAAGCAGAGGGTATGGAGGAAAATTAATCATGGAATGACATTTCAAAGTAGAAAAATGCATAAGCAATTCCTTTTTCTTTGAAAAATTCAACTTCATACGTTTGAACATAAAAGATTAAGAGAAGGCGCACATGTTGCTTGTGATACAAATTAGAAGGTTCATTTTTCAAGATTTACAAACATAAAACAGGTTACAAGATACATTTCCAATATTCAGATTACAATGAAAAACATAAAGATGTCAAGAGCAGTAGGAATCAAGAGAGCATAAGATAACCAATAGGAATTAGAACTTATATTTCCAATCACTAAGATTAACAAATACTAAAATTTGATTGGGTGACACAATTTTCACAGCCAAATTTACTGGGGCCACAGCCTCATAAACGAAGATCTATATATTACAGAACTACTCCTACAGACTAAAAAAAAAAAAAAAAAAAGACAAAAAATATAAATTTTGAAAGGGACACTAAAACCTAATAAACAAAAACTTTGAGTGATAATGGAAAAGAGTTTTGCCGGCATGATAATGCAAGGGTAATGCTTTTCTTAAATTCAAGGGAACACAGCATCTTTGTCCTTCTTTTGGGGAAAAAAACCAATGACAACAATCTGCAACAAAGAAGAGATAAGATGTCCTCACCCTTTTTGCTGGCAAGATGAAACTGCTTCATGAAGCCAGGCTGCAACACCAGGAAAAGAACTTTTGAAGCTTTTAATTTTTTCTTTAGCTTCATCTGAACAGCAATTTAGTTGCTCTGAAAGAGTATTAGGACCCATTCCATACAGAATGCCATAGATCAACCTTTTGGTCTGTTCTCGCTCATGCAAGCCAATAGAATCTTCTGGCTTTCCAGTCCATCTTGCTGCGATCATGGTAAAAACATCACCTTTTGGCTTACTAAGGAGGTCTATCAGAGCGGAATCTTTAGAAAAGTGTGCCATGAGCCGCAATTCTATCTGAGAATAATCTGCTGTTAATAATAACCAGTTCTCCTACAAAAAGAGAAAAGAAGAAAAAACAAAATTAGGGACAGACTCACAAAAGGTGCATACCTCATAACAACTTGATATCAGTACAACAAAAACATCAAAGTATAAGGTCCATTGCCCATGTTCTATTGTAGCAATCTTTTCTATGTCACCAGGAATTTCTTCAGAAGGCTTGATAAATGAGTACCAATATAGTGTTTCATACATTAAGCCCACAACATTTGTGTATTCCAAAAGCCCAAAGACCAAAGTCCTTATTGCTATAATGGACCTACTCTCATTCCCCATCTATTAACCAAGAGGTGGCCACTCAACAGTATTCTCTGGTGGTGGTGACTTTTGTCTAATATCATTCAAAATGTCAGAAGAAGTTTCAGCAGCATTCATTTGTATAAAGGTAAGCAGTTAACTTTTGTTTTGCCCTACCAACCATATGAAAATTTTATGTTTTTGCAGCAAATTGTTGAGGCTTTTAGTTTAATCTTCTTCATTTTGTAATTTTATTGTCAGATAGGAAACGAAAAGTTTGTTTTAAGCTTGCATTTTTTTTATGCATTTAGGCAAGAAGCTAATTTGTTAGTACAGATTATGAACAATTCATCTTCAAGTTTCTGGAAACATTCATTTGATTAAGCCTTATCCCAAGCTAGCTGGATTATGTTACTTGAATCATTCCTTAATCTTTTTTCCCTCCATGCAGGTCCTTATGAACGTAAATGGCAAGTTTTTTTCAATAATTTGTCAAAAGAGCTATTGAGTCAATATCCGATAATTACATAAATATATTAAATTCACGAGACAACTAAATAATATTTACCTGGGTGGGAACAAAAAAATCACGAGCATTAATTTTGTAGTGATCAGCATCTAAATTGTCTTCACATTTATCCTTATCATTTATTTTGACTTCAACCATATTCTCAACACACTGCAAAACTCAAAAGAAATAAATAAATTAATAACACATCACCCTAAAAGATAAAACCAACTTAAGTACAGATAGATAAATCAGTAGCGTAAGACACAAACCTGAAGATTAGGTTCCTCCATTGAAAGTCGACCAGTAGCTGTTGATGTTTGGAGCCAATGACCGTGTAGTGTGTATTTTTGCCCACTTGTAGATAGCCTAGCTAGTGTGCACATTGATCCCAGTGTACAGTTTAAGAGCTTTGCCAATGTTCGATGCTCTTTAATTACTGGAATAATAGGATGCTCATGCCTAAAGAGTAAATAAATCCATTAATTTGCTGGGCTGCAGAAAGTTGAGAATGCATGACCACAAAAATCAAATATATATTAAAAATACAATGAGCACTCACTGGAATAAATAGTAATAATCTCACAACTTCAAATTCATTTTTTCTAAATGATCATGCAATAGCAAGTTAGAGTAAGCCACAACTTATTGGGATTATCACCTAACTAAAAGGAAAAAACTTATAGATATTCTGGAAATTATTTGAAAAATGGTTCCCCACCAACATATTGGATAGAAGATCAGCTCCATGTTTTGTGAAGTATAACAAGAAAACTAAGCCAATATTTCTCAGTACCTTAAAAGATCCAAACAATGCTTGTCAGTACTAGGATGTTGTTTCCCTTTGTTGTGCCCTTCAGGTATTGGCAGCTTCAAGTGTCCATACAGGACATTTGCAATATCTGCTGCTGTATATAATGAAAATTTTATGCCAGCCAATTTATAAGCTTCCTTCTCAAGATACCTAAGCTTTTTCTGCAACAAATTACGGGCCTGAAGACACCCTTCCATGTTGACACCTATTCCCCAAAGCTCCATGTCAGCAAGGACATTGACCTAAGACAGAAGCAACCATTATACTAGTGTCAACTATTTAAGATTAACTCAAAAATTAAAGAGAGCAATTACTTTGTAATTATTGTTCAATAATTCAGAAGACAACTTTAATAAAATACCCACATAAGGTAATATAGGTTATCAAGCACCCTACTTATAACTCCTGCATGCATATATGTTGAAACAATCAAATAAGAGGCCACGGAGAGTAAATATACAGAAACCAAAACTTAAGAATGATTGTACACCACAATTGAAAACCCAAAAGCAGAACCAGTCCAACATCATGTATTTATTTTACTTTTCATTTGGATGACTTATCAACTTTTCTCTAAAAACTTGACCAGATCCTAACACTTCAAGGTTTTCCTACGCCAAGTTCAGATATTTTTCTTTTTGAAATACATAACAAGAACTGCAAAAAGTTTACCAATGGAATTTCAATGTTCATAAGCGCTTCAACAAGTCCTTCAGAAACAAGCAACTTCCAGAGAACAGAACATAGGGCACGTGTCTGAGCAACCCGGCGGCAGCAACCATTATGTGCAGCTCTCCGCATCTGATTCTTCCACTGACCACTTCTATTAGCTGCTGCTGCAGCCTCAGTGGATAATCTTTTCTTAACTTCCTAATTTACCATTATTACAACATTAGAAGCCAGTATTGAACAATAACAAAAGAAAAAATTATTACTTATACGACAAAGATAAACGTCATTTGGACTTGAGAAATATTGAAATGGATATGAAATATATTTTAGCACTGAGTACGTCAATAACTTGTTTCTTCAAAAGAAAATTATAATGGCTAGTTTCAACCTAAGTTTGCTACTATGAAACAAAGAATTACCTTCTCCAGGTTTGGATTAGAGCTTCTCTCCTCATCAGGCCAAAGAATCCAAGCCACAATGCACAAGTCAATTCCATCTTTGACATAAATCGGAGATAACGAGTACAGGCTGTCGATGAGTTCAAGTCCTAAACTTTTCCCCACAAGATTCCGGCAACCAAATCTCTGAGCGGAAACTGCAGCACACTTAAGCACCTGATTCTGAACTTTCAAATTCCAAGTAAATTTTCTAACATCTCTTTTTTCCATAATCACACCAATTCTTTTCCATCTTTGCTTCATTATCTCTAACTGACGCTCAGGAGGTAGAGAATCACTCTTATCATCAGATCCAGAAATAACCAAGCCATCATTTCTTTTGCTGCCAGATGACAACAGATCCTTAGGAAGATTGACATAATACACAGGAGAATTCTCCCAACAGATTGCGATGCCATATATCTCAAAGAGAGCACCATGATTTACTTTTGATTGTTTGTTATAGTGGATATCAAAATAGAATTCCTGGGTGGCTTCCCAGATATCCAAAAAATGATTAAATCCTCCAGGAGTATTTGTTGCATTAATAGGACCCTTCGTCCAAGCACTGTCCTTGAAAAGACACAGACCTTGACTGGGCCGATCTTGTAATTTATCAAGATGACCACTAGGTGTTATGTTTCCAATACCATTTTTTTCTGGCCGAATAGAGAGAGTTGTATCTGCATTTTTTATTTGCTCAACATTAGCGTTACACTTAACACCTCCAATTCCTGATCCTACAGTTGGTACTTCTAGATTTTCAGTAACAAAGTTATGTTGCAAGGCAGTAGTTGAGTGTACTTCCACTGAAGCCACTAAACCACCATCTGAAGTTTTTCTCAAAGTTTCCCCTGCATTTTCCAGAGCAACTTTTTCCATGTTCTCATCTGCTTCTTTATGTGGCTTAGCCAAAACCATGTTTGTTTTTATTGGATCAACAAAGCTGCTAGAAGTATAATCCCTAAAGAAGGTAGTTGCTTCTTCTTGCCTAGTGGGATTATCACCAGTAGTCAATAATAATGGTCGAGAAAACTGTGGGACATCTAACCCAAGAGATTTGAAAGCTGAGAAGGCAGCAATCCTGGCCTCTTCAGCTTTTTCAAGAACAATTTTGCGTGCACCATTTTTTATCTTCTTCGCGACTCCCAACTGTATGCGTCTTTGTGCTGAACCTTCTAATCATGTGGTAAAATTTTCAAAATTGTTCTATTTCTTAACGCACCAAGCAAGAAAATAGAGCAGCCATTACAGAAAATAACAAATTTGAACACGGGTATTGGAACACAAGGAACACCAACTTGCATTATATACATATGAATTTAAATACAATTAAACTTTTGTGCTTCCTCTATGTAGACTAGCAACCAAAGAGTCCTGGCAACTAATATCACCTCAGTGTCTACACATTTTTTCTCATCAATGCAACTAATCTATCATTGCATTCTGTATAACATTATATAAGTATTCCACCATATGAAAGAATAACCTTGACTAGATGCAAACATAACATGTTCCTCTTGGAGCTAATATACAAGTTTTATCTGATAAATGAATCTGGCCAAAAGGGAAAAAGTGCCCCAAGCAGTTATTTTTTGGCAAGCAGGTTTAATAAGAAATCAAACAAGCCCACGGTCAAGTTTATTAATTGTCAGAAACTTCATACCAGATTAACATGATATCAGCCATCAATCTAATATCACAATTATTAATTTAAAAAGCAATGTACCAAAAATCTTTGAGAGATTCACCTTGTGCTACCCATGATGAAGATTCAAAAAGAGCTTTGACAATTTCAGGAACGGTTGCTTCAGCAATTGCCAGAGGTGTACGTAAGCCAGCTTTATAGAGTGCTCTTGCTCGAGAACCCTAAAGATAAAAAATAATTGATTAGGAATCCTCCTCAGACATCAACAAAAGGTTGACAAGGGGTGTAAGTTTGCAGACTTTAATAGATGTAACTGAAATAATGCAATTACCTTCACATAAGGAATCGTAGTAAGTTCTACAATCTCGGCCCTCACTCCAAATGAAACACGATTCTGGAACTTCGCAACCAAGCCTTCTAGATCGTGCCATCCAAGCCTCTCACAGAACACAGAAACCATAGATGCAAACCTTCCTGCATTCTCTTGCAAAGCTTGAACCATACCTCTGGCCACTTTAAAAGCTTCACAAACCTCAAGCACAGGAGTTTCCTTCACCCCAGAAGTTAAAAAAAAAAATGCATTTAGTAAGATAAATCAAACAGGGCGAGTCCAAGTGGTCCCAATCCTTATAAAAATTGAGGGAGGGCGGGGGAGGAAAAATCAGAGAATGAAATAAAGTTACCTAAGCAATGAAAATGCTGTCTATATTAAATACAGGGTAGAAAGACATAAAGAAGTGGTTTTAATTTTGTTTTTCATATACCTTTGGTGGAGCTAGAAACAGAGACAATGTAACAAATATAAATGTAAGCCTATTCAGACCGCAGATAAGGAAAAGAATGTAACGGATGTAAACATAGTTTAAGGAAGGCACTAGTTTTCATCTGGCAGAAGAAAGAAAATACAAAGAATGAAACCTGCACTAATCTTGACAGGATGAGGGCAACATAAAATCGTCTACACACTCTAATTGTCTGCTCCTCTGAAAGCATACTACTGTTGGTGATCCCATGTCTGTAATCAGATTTGGCATGCAACCCTTTGCTACCATCTCTTGATCTGCTTGATGTGCGTATAGGTGCACCATGTGCCATTCGCATTAAAAATGGTTCTGCTACTCCCACTCGATTGCCAACTGACTGAATTTCATGAAAATTATATAGAATGACTAAAAATGTTTTCAATCCAATAAAAGATGTTGATGCAATCATCAGCAAGACAAAAACACAAGATTACATATATTCAATAGAAACCAAGGATTTTCCCACAATATCATACCAGTATTTATACTGGAAAGAATAAAAACTAGTAACATTGACATAGAACATGGACACATATGAAACTATATGGTACATTGAAAATGACTAGTAACATTGATGTAAGACATTTAACATTTAATCTAAAACTTCTCAAATGGAACAAATTTAGGTAAAAAAAATGACGAAACAATGTTAAATGTAACTGTCAAAAGTACCAGGACATAAATAACAAATCAAATTATAGCATTTATTAGGAAATATAGTTACATGGATTAATAAGTGTGATGAAATATAAGAAGTGTGAAGAGGTATTCACTTAAATGTATGGGGCTTAAAACTCCTTAAGAAATTAACAGCACAAATCACAGTTGGCACTAAGTCAGCCCTGAATTCACCTACTTAGAGTAAAATGAAGATACAGACTACGAAGCTTGCAAATAGATATATTGAGGATAAATAAAAAATTGATTGCTAATGCAATTTTCTCTAAACAAGCTCCAACTAACATCCAAACATATACCAAAATAAGAAAAGTCACCTGGTCAAGGGCTGACAACTCCATGTACAGCTCATAATATAATTCCCAATCTGGTTCAACTTCAACATTAATCGGTGTCACTAGATAAACTAAATGCAAATCTGTTGCAAGTACAAACCCTTCTCTTGCCCTTGAAAGATCATCCAACACGGTCTAGGAAACAAGCAAAAAAGATATAAAATTAACCTCAATGCATCAAAATTTAAGGGACAAATCAATTGGCATGCACAGAAACCAATATCAAAATAATGCTCAAAACTGCAGGAATACTAAAGCCCTTCTTCAAAAAATGAAAACACGATATTGAATATAAAAGGTAAGGAAAGGTACAAGTGATTCTTCTGGGCAAAGAGAACTGCCAAAAGCTGCACGTCCGAGAGGTGTAGTACTGTACAACTTAGTATCCTCATTCCACTCAAGAAACTTTCCGTGGCACAACCACCGAAGAGAGTCCTGTGCTGATTTTACCACATCTTGAAATGGTTTTGTAGAATTGAGAAGAGTGCATTTAACATATCTATGAACATCTTCAGCAGTTTGAACAATCCCACCAGCCACAACTTCTAAAATTGCATGAATCATTCCATTCTTATCTTCAGATAAACAAGAATGCAATGGTGGGCAGCTTTCATTAAGAAGTCCAATAATTCTTTTGACCTCTTCTGCTTTGCAAATAAGAACCTGGATATGTAAAAGCATTACTGTGGAGCAAAAATAGAATCAAAAGCTTATAATTGAATGATAGTTCAAAAACATAAATCAGTTGCAGAACAAAGAATTTAGTGAAAAATTCAATCTTCATTGACAATTGTAAAAGAAAAACAACATTCCTCATACAGGAAAAACACAAATGATAGGATAATTTTCCCGTAAGTAATAATTGGTCTTAGTTCCAAGACAAACTGCTTGAGAATATTAAACTAGATGGAAAGATTAGAGTTAATTCCTTCAACAGCTCAGAGATTCACGTAAAAATATCCAAGGCAGAAATAATCAAAACATAAAACTTAAAAATAAAAAAATAAAAAATGAAAAGCTGTGACATAACTAAGATAATCGCCAGGGCATGATATGATTGAATAAAACATACTCACAAGGCAATAAAACCAAAGACGAATAGGAGTTACTCAAATGACCACAAAAGCAATCAGAAAACAAGTAGACGTACACTTTCTCCTTTTGTATCTATTCCAGTCCGACCTGCCCGACCAGCCATCTGCTTGTACCTTGTCCCATCAATGAAATCACGGCCAATCCTGGGTTGCCGAAAAATGACTCTCCTGGCAGGCAGATTAACTCCAGCAGCTAAGGTAGATGTAGCAGTTAAGACACGTACAAGCCCTTTACGATAGCAGGTTTCAACAATCTCTCTTTCTTCAACCTATGCACAGAAACAAGTATCAGAAGGACAGCTCAAAATGTTATGAACTAATAAGTAGAAACTTCGAAAAACATGATTCAACAGAAAAAATAAAAGAAACAGAAGTCAACTGAAAAAGGTCATTAATGAATGGAAATTATGGAAGGACAGATATAATACTGTGAGTCCAGCATGGTGATAAGCAACACCAGAAGGAAGAGTTTCTTCTAATATAGGATCCACTCCAGCAGGACACCTTCGCAAGGCATCAATAGCTGAAGTAATATCAGCAAACTCTCCATCACGACTGTGGACACTGATAGAACATTTCTTGAGGAACTTTGAGACATGCCTTGCAGTTGATTCACATCCTTTTCGGCTAGAGCAAAATATTAATACCGAATGACCCTCTTGAACAACCTGAGAAACATTCCCACCATTCATAATTATTCAGCTTCCAAATGATGCCTTGCTGAGGAATTATTTAAAATAAAAATTAGAGAAAAAGAGACAAAACCTCATTGCAGAGTTCAATAATATGATCTGGATCTTTCCCACCAAGGTCAGCTGCGGTTGGAACTGTTCTAATAATGTCGAAATTCTTATTATAAATGGTGTTACCAACTTTAATGTATTCCTCTAATGGAACAGGTCGAAAATCTGTTTCATATAATGCTGCCTGTGTGCAAGTTTGCGTAAAATAGATGAAAAATTATTAACTTATAATGAAGCAAGAAGCAACAAAGATGAGCAATGTGATGGCAGAACCTTTAATCATTCCTCAAAGCAAGAAATAAAAAGTTATTGTAGCAATTATTTTGTGTTTTCAATTAAAAAATAAGATAAGTATGAAGGAAAAGATCAGAGAAAACTGTTAGAACAAAAAATTGACACTCACAAATTTTATTCTGCTTGAACATTTAACCTATTATATCCACCTTAAACAAGCTTCATATAGATTAGCTGAGTTACTAAGTCATAATGCTGTATTTTATTGTACAGCATAAATAATCTAAAATGAGTTTGTAAAGATCTGTCATCTGTGGATATCAATCTGTGAGAAAAGAAAGATAAGTTAAATTACTTTCTCAATACATCAAGATGTTACTGTAAGGACAAATGAACAACTTAACACATAAATACTTCTCAAAAGGGACTGAAACAATAAGCTAAACCATAGAAATACCTAGTTAGGCTTCTATAAAACTATATCCTTCATTACTTAAATCCTTTCAACTTTATAGATACTCTCTCCAATAAAAGAAGAAGAAAAAAAGTCTATAAATACTATATAAAAAAACTATTCAAGAATAACGTTTTTTGAGACACATTGACTAGTAGTCATTGTTGTCATCTTACATCAAAATTGATGGCAAACACAGATACTTCACAAAAATGAAAAATTAAGTCATCAAGGAATAGGTGGAGGTGGTGGAAAGATGAAAGGGTGATATTTAATATTCCACTTACTTGCAGCCAGTCAGCAACCGCTGCCAAATTAGGCATGGTAGCACTCATCCCAACAATTTGCAGACCATGAGCAGAGTCAACCTTCCCACTGCTCATACCTGAACTTTCTCCACTACTTGACTCTGAAACTCCTTCACCAGCCGCATAACGAAGCTTTGTTAACAGCAATTCCAAAAGATAACCTCTAGTCTGATCGGCAACCTGTCAGCAAAGCACGAGAACCATCCGAAGTATCCATTAAAAGAGTACAAGCTTAAAGGACTTGAAAGGGACAACAAAAAGTCAAAGGTAACTATACAACTCATCCACAACAGAAATTACTAATACCAACAAATGTATGATCATGATACCATGTGCAGTTCATCTATCACAATAATTCCAATTTCTGACAAACGACCCTCTTCCAGCAGTCTATTGATTAAAGAGTTTGCCTTCTCTATAGTGCATACAGCTACAGAAGTATCTTGAGGAAGTGCTCCACCACCCTGGTTTCCATAATAACTACGCACATGCTTACCAAGTGGTTCAAGAAGGACTTCCAGATGTTCTGCCTGCACCAAATTTATGAGAAATACAAAGAATTAAGTGATCAATAGGTAATCAATATCTACATTTCCAGTATAGAAAATCACGATTTAAAGAGCACCTTTTCTGCACAAATTGATACGTAAGGAAGCACAAGTAATGCCATTTTCTCAGTTGAGATTACCCGCCGTAACATTAAAATTTCTGCAACAAAACTTTTTCCAGCACTGTGACACAGAAAGAAAGATTACACAATGTATGAATGCCATGTAAACACATTAGAAGCAAGAAATATTATATATTTCTTTTCCAAAAATACTAGAGATTCTAAATATTTAACTACATTGCTGGCACAACAGTGAAGATTGTGATAAAAAAACAAGTTTAAACATACAACACAATTATGACAGAAAACTTCAGATTTAAAAAAGCAAAGTAATGATGAAATTTTAGTCACTCAAAGAGAATACCTTGTTGATGCACAATAGACAAGATTCCTCCTCTGCAAAACACCATCCACCTGAAGGCAGTCAACCTGAAAAAATGGAAAACAAGGTTACAACGTGCTTTTGATCTAACTAAATATAATATCAAAGCACCAAAAGCATCAAAGCATGAATGCAAGCAAAACTTCAAAGTCCCAACCTCAGCGAAACTGTACAACTATGAAAAAAACAAGCAGCAAAGATTAGATTTACAAGGACTAAGTGGAATCGTAAAGTCAGGTACTCCAGAAAAGATAAAGCCTCGGTAAGGTGTGACAAAAATATGATAAATAAATACAAAAGTTGCAACTTTTAGCCTGATGTACGGACGATAAAATTTGAAGTTTAAAGTAGTAATTTTTTAACAAAATCAAATGGCAAGACGGGTAAAAAAGCATATAAGTATTGATTCTCCTAAACAAACAGAAGTAGACAACTTGAGGATGATCTGAGAAGTATAAAGACATTGCCTGTTTTAACATTGATTACTGCAGGCAACATTATGTCTCTAGTGAAAGTATAACAGAAATAACATACAAGCTCATGGACGATGCTGTCTCAGAAAAAATCCACCTGGACAACACCCTTATCTCTTAAGTTTTATCTCTAACTGGCAGAACTAGACAATATACTTCTTATACCACTTCAACATGCATATAATGAGACCTTCTCTTGTACTTCAGGCATCTCTTAAAGGGGTCTATTGATTGTGCATATGACTATCATAATGGAAACATATAAAAACTAAAACTCAATATCAATAATCTAAACCTAGATATACAGAAACCAAATGCATCTTTCATAACAGGGAAGTTGAACAGCTTCACCTACCTCATTTTCATCCTTAATCCAATTGTAGAATTTAAAATAAGCAAGACTGTTACTCAAAGATTTGAATGTACCTGCCATGGATATAGTTTTGAAATTCCTCTCTTTTCATATATGCTACATATTTCTGAAGGAAGCCAACTGGTAAGCTTTAAACAGTCTTTATGCATCACATAACTTGAAGGAGTAGATTCTTCATTGGATTCGTTAGTACCAATTAATTTCTTGATTTCATTATCAGGTGATTCCAATGTGATACTAACATTATCTTGACTTGATGAATCCACTTTTCTTTTTTGTAACATATGAACAGAAACCTTCGCTTGTACTTCAGTCATCACTTCAATTTTCTGAGCTTGGTCATAATGAGTTATAATTTTCATTGTTTGAAACCCTATGCGATTTACAGAGCCCTTTTCAGATACTTCACTGACTCGATGCATCCTAGTTTCTGAGCTATCTGCAGCAACATGACCTGGGGTGCCCCCATCCAAGTTTTTGTCCTCACACAAAAAGTCAAAATGCTTAACAGGTAGTGGGGATGCTTCTTTATCTGAATCTTTCATATGCTCCATTGCCTTTAAAGAATCTCTGGCCCTATCATAGGTTGCATGCCAAAATTTGCTCCCACCTTCGTCCAACATTAACTTGTCACAATTTTTGTTTCTTAAATTGTGAGAATTATTTATCTCATTCTGGCTTTTAGCATAATTGATCCCTTCGTCAGCTTGAGCAGGAAGGTTATCAGGTTGAGCAAACAAATCATCAGCAACTTGAATTGCTTCATTCCAGAAAGCTTCTCCAGGAGAAAATATGGAGCTTCCACATGTTGATTTGGGGGTTCCACGAACATATGTTTTAATAATTGATGATCCAGGTGTACAGCAAGTTGTTGAATTCAAAGTTGATTTGAATGAATTGTTGCATTTTTTCAAGCTTGATTGAAGCGCAACGGGACCATCACAATCCATCATCTACCAAAGCAAATGTATTATTAGATAGCAAAAGTCAGATATCTTCACGTCATAAGATTCACAAAATAGTACTCGAAAATGATATTTTTACCTCTTGGGAAGAACGTGAAACAAACATTTCATTTTTAACAATTAAACCACATTGTGTTTCTTCAGGATTCTTTGCATTAGAATGTGTGGTTTCACCTCCTGATTGTGACTGATTGGAATTGCAATGCTTCTTCTTGGGTATCTTTTCCTCCTTATCTATTAATGATGGACTACCATGTCTCTTATGGTCTTTCACCTTTACCTTTGATGTTGAACTTACACTTGTATGGAGTTCACTATACACAATACAGGATTTAAACACTAGCTTATCTCAGTAATGTTAGCCACAAAAGCAAGACAACAACAACTTATACCAACTGCTTATCAAAATCTTTTTAAGAAACAAACAATACCTGCAATACAAAGATAGAAAGTTATTTGCGAACTGTTTCAAATCTGAATTTTCTGTGACATGAGCAGAAACTGAGCAATCATTAATGAGACTATCACAGCCCCCCTCAGATGAAACCTGAGTAGTCACCTTCTGAATGCTTTTAAATACTTCAAAAGCTTCAGGTTGCACTTGAGCTGATAACAGGGGCTGTTTACTTTCATCTTTGGAGAATTTATTTATCTCCAATGATAAATTTCTTTTAACTGGCTCTAGCTTAGCCAACAAATCTTTAGCTCCCTGTGAAGGCTTGGTAGTTTGATTATCCTCCTGTGAAGTTCTCAAATAATTGTCCAAAGTTCCTTTGCCACTAGGAGACCCTTCAATGGCTAATTTTGCATCTTTCTCAACTTTCCCACTCTTCAAACCAGGTGATAATGATTTTCTCTTCTTTGAAGCAAAAAACTAAATGGAAATAGAAACAGGAACAGCACACCAGAGATATATTAAGAAAATGTAGACAAAAATATTACTTTAACCATACAAGACTGAAGATTCACCCATTTTAAACCCAACCCATTTTGGCATAAGAATTATTTTTTCAATTTCCATTTACCACAGAAGCCCCCCAGTCCAAATAGTATAGTTCAACTGATTATGGTAATTAAAGTCGTTCCTCGTTACAACAAATTAAAAAGGGAAAAATAAAAAATCTATTGGGCGAGGTTTATTTTCCAGCAATATCAACTCCCCCCATGCAATTTTATTTATATAAAAAAAAGCTTTACATCGTCAATAATGGTATTTATCAAAGAACAAGATTCGTATTTACTTTGGTCAAGATTAATCTCATTTTGCTTCCACTGGTGCGGAAACATAAAAATAGAGGGACGGTTCAAATTTTCAATTGGGACATAATCGTTAAATAATTGTAGGAGTTTGAAAGATACAGAGTACGAACAAGACCTGATCGATACGCTTACGAGGCGAACCAGACGCCATCACTAGAGACAGAAGAGGTCAAAAGGAGATCTGCGAGCCCCTAGTTCTTTCTATTTCTTGGGGACCTGGATGCAATGTTTCAAATACGTTTGAATCAATTCAGTTAAGCGCCAACTCGACGCTCCAAGTGCGGCTGACTGTGTTTTCTCTGATATAGCCTCACACTGGAAGCGTGCAAATTTTTAAGTTATTACAGTCATACCCCTAGCCTCTTTTCTATTTTCAGTTTGATATATTTATATTATAAAAAGGAATAATTTAATTTATTCAATTATCTTTTTATCCTTATATAAAGTTAAATCTATCCCAAACTAAACTGTTATAGTCCCTTAATTGAAAGATTTGTAAATCTATCCTCCCATTACAAAGTCAAAAAGTTTGCATCCTAATTGGTAATACCCCAATTATTAACTTTGAAGAATCCATTGATTCATAACAAAATAAAAAGACTGATTGCAAAGTATCATTGAGTTTTATTATACTCAATAATCTCGAGAACAATATCAAACAATATGATACGATTGAAACGTAGTGGTATTCGTTTATAGTTTTGTTTTAATGTTTTCATTTTGCAATTGGAAGTTCATAAATAACCGGTCATTTATGTTTTTTTCACATTTATTTCTAAAAAAGTTATACTTATTACAATCTCTTTTATTTTATATCAACTTTTTACACTCTTTAATGTTGATTCTAATCAAAATCTTTATCATATTTGTTTAAAAAAAAAAAAAAATCATTTAGAGATTTTATATAACTTATCAAGAGAAACAAATCAATTGCTAATTTAAAAGGGTTTTATTGTTATGTAGTTAATAAAAAATTTAATTTTCATTACTTTATTTGTATTCTTAGACAGTCATGTCACGTGTGTTTTTATTTTCACATTTTAAAAATATTATGCTCTAACAAACATACTAAATGCATTTTCAATTTTACATCTTTTAATATTTGTAGATATTTTAAAAAATCAGAAAATATATATACAAAATTCAGAAAAGAAAGCACCTCGATGTTTAACTTGTCACTGTCATGAAATATTTTTTTTTTATATAAGAAAAGAAGTTAACATTGAAACAATATAACAATAACAATAACCATAATCCAAACCCTTCAAAATCTTCCTAACTAAATAATAATATGTTTTTCAATATGTCTTGAAAAAATTAAGATAAATAAAAAAATATGAATTATTTTATTTAAATTAATTTTTGAGTTGAAATGTGCAATAAAAAATATTTTTGTATTAGCTATGCATGTTAAATATATAAATCATATTGGTTGTAATATCATAGTGAATTGTAAATTAAATTATATATATATATTTATATATTTTTTTTTTAAATATACTTCAATCAATACAATAATCATAGTTTTAAATCTACTATCAATGCAATCTATTCTAAAATGATAAGACCAATATTTTGTTGTTTTACAAATTTTAAACTGAAGTAAAATTCCAAAATGATAAAATATTGGAAATATAAAAACCTCCTTTTATTAATGATTTATGAATGGGGTCCATTTCATAATTCAAAATTTATGGTTTTCAGGCGGATGGATTTGTCTATTTTAATTTTGAGTAAACGACATTTTTCCACTTTGGCCTAGGGGTGGGATAAATAATCAGAAAACCAAACCGAACCAAAAATTAGGTTTTTTTATAAATCGATTTGGTTTTCGGTTTGTAAAATTCAAAAAACCGGAAAACCAATTCGATTTTCGGTTTGAAAATTATTTCAAACCGGTTTTACTTTTACCCTAACTATAAAAGCGAAAAAAAATGTTGGCTTCTCTCTATTTCTCTTCACACATAGTTCAGACTCTTCTCCCTCCGTGACTTAGCCTCCAAATCTTAGTTAATCTCCCTATTCCACACCGTGAGCTACAGAGCTACTACATAGTCTATCCACACCGTGACTCCATCCACACCGTGAGCTACTGCTGCTGCATCCACTCTCCAGCGATCTTCACAGTCCAATCTTCCACACCATGAGCTATAGAGCTACTCCATCCACACCGTGAGCTGCTCCATCCACACCATGAGCTACTGCATCCACTCTCCAGTGATCTTCACAGTCCACCGTGAGCAAACCCACCGTGAGCAGACCCACCGTGAGAAGACTCCACCGTGAGCAGAGCCACCCTGAAGAGACTCCACCGTGAGTAGACCCGCCGTGAGCAGACTCTTGATTTTTATGTATTCTTTGTTTGTTATTTTGTTAATCTTGTTTTGCTTTCTGGGTTTGTTTTAGTGAAGAAAGGTAATGTTGTGGCTACTATTTGTGCTGTTTTGGCCTTTGGGATACTTTGCACTTGTTAGAAGGAATTATGGTGATGGTGGTGTGGCGTGAAGGAAATTGAGGGTTTTTGTTTGTTGATTTTGGGATTTTGTGAGATGGTTTTCTGGAAATTTTGTTGTTAGATTAGGTTTTGGTAAAGTTAACCCTACACTACATTTGAAGAGATTAAGGCTGTTAAATATGGATTAGAGATGTAAAGCTCATAGTTAAGGAGCTTATGTAACAAATATTATTAATAATCCTTTAATTTTACATTTTCGGCGTATTTTGTTACTAATTTTACTTGTTTCTGATTTCTGAAACCGATGGATGGTCCTCACTATGTAGCAATCCAATGGTCTCTGATTTTCGCAGGCCTGGTAACATTATAAAGATTGTCTCTGCCTTTCTCGACACTTCAAGTCAAAGCCAAGTTTCTCCTTGAGAGAACGTTAATGTTGTCCACCAAATAATCAAATACGAAGCTTTTGTATAATGTTGATTTTATGAAATTATATATAAAATAATAAATATTTGAACTTAGGGACTTAAATGAAAAATTGAAGAATTTTAAGGATTAAAGGATAATTTGAAAACCGGTTAACCGAACCGAAAATTCAGTTCGGTTTACATTCGGTTTTTAACCGAAACCGGTCTGGTTTTCTATTTGGATTTTCTCCAAACCGAAAAACTGGTTCGGTTTTTGGTTTTGATAATCCGGTTCGATTAACCGGATTATCCCACCCCTACTTTGGCCGCCATTTTCCCAATTTTGAGTAAAAACTTTTCCCTTGTTTTTCAAGTCAACTTTGGTAGGACACGTGGCAGCCATTCAGTCGCTACACTAAACGAGATTTTGATCATCCTACCTTTGTTCTGAGTTCTGAACGTTCAGAACAGGATTTACAAACGATTGGAAAGTGGCGTTTACTGTTTAATCTACGGTTGTCTTAATTTTAAGAGCAAACGACATGGCCAAACCCCAGTAAATACCACTTGTTCTGTTTATTACAAAGTCGCACCCTTAAGTTAACACTATAGGGTGTTTGGTTGGAGGTAATGAAAAATTACTGAGGTTAATCTTGTATTATCAATAGTTGTTATTGTTGATAATATTGGAGGTAATCTGATTACCTCTATTTTCTTAAGTATTGTAATATTACCTTTGTAATCTTATTTTTATTATAATTCTATCCCCTATTAATAAAAATTTTGGACAATAATAACCCTGTTTTAAAATAAATTTACATTAATATATTATATCATTTCAATTTTACCCTTGTTTAATTAAGATTTTGGACAATAATGCCCTTATATTTAAAAAAAATTACAGACCACCACCACCGACAGTGGGCCAACCACCACGGACCGCCATCAGAAAGTCGTTGGAGTCCCTAAAAATGACCGAGATTCATTGGGAGGCTTTGATATGGCCGTTTTCGGCCATCAATATGGCCAGAAACGGCCATATCGGAGCCTCATGGTCACGGTGACTTTCGGAGACTTTCGACGGTGGCAGTGATGACGACAGGGGATGGGGTGATTTTGTCATAAATTAAAGTTTTATATAAACGGGGGTGTTTTAGCTAAATCTAAAATATTAGGTGTTAAAAGAAATTATTCAAAACTTAATAATAAAAATAATACTATATTAATATTTAAAAAGGGGGCAATTTAGTAATTTAAATAACATACTCACCAATTTATTCCCCCTAACCAAACATATTAATATAACATACACACCGACTAACCAAACACATTTTCCTAAAGATTCCCAGTAATTTTCTAGGTAATATAAGATTCCAGTAATCCAACATTTCTTGAACCAAACGCACCCTATAAGTTAATTTTGAATTTTAACTTAGTGTTATTACCATCCTAGCCTTCACTTTTTATTTCACCCCACCTAGTCACCATCACCACCCACCAAACCCACTCGACCGCCGTTCAGGCCCGATCTGGCTTGATTTTGTGCCGATTAACCAATCCAACAACACCATTAGGATCCTCTCAGCTCCCTCTCCAAAACCCCTCTCATCTCCGATTGTGTGTTGTCGCCGTTCATCAACCACTGCAATTTTTTTGTTCCTGCGCTTCAAGCAAATTTGCGGTTGCTCCCGACACCAGAGATCAATCCCATTACCACTAATAGCTTCACTGACATCTCACCTCAAAAATTGCCAACAACCCCGATCCTAGTTGTTTGCTGTTTGCTGTCCATCACTCCTCTTAGGGTTTTGCGATTTTGGTGAAAATTAGGTTTAATTGGAGGTTAATTTAAGGTTTTACAAGGAGTTTATGGGTTTGTGATTGATTGGAAGTTGATTATGCATGTTTTTGAAGTGTTTTTATGTTGCTTTTTGGGTTGGATTGATTTCGAGCGGGTCTAGAATGGGCGGTTTGGTCGCAAAATGCAGTAAGTGGCGCCCGACGATTGGGAAGCAACAGTGGTCATTATTGGTAAAGGTTTTGTTCAGGAGGAAGTGGAGAGGTTAATGGTGGTGGGTGGTGGGATTTTGGAGTCGAAAACCCTTCGGAATTGGACTTGATAGATTGTGACCTAGAGCCAAAAGTGGAGGAGTTTTGGAGAGGCATAACTGTCGGAATTGGAGTCAAAAGTGGAGAGGGAGATGAGAGGATCCTAATGGTGGTATTGGATTGGTCAATTGGCATTGGAATCAAGCTAGATCAAGCCTAAACAAGGATCAAGTGGGTTTGGTGGGTGGTAGTGGTGGCTAGATGGTGATCATGATGGTGGTTGAGTGGGGTGAAATAAAAAGTGAAGAGCATGGTGATAATAGCACAGGTCAAAATTCAAAA